GCTGTTTCACGCTTCTGGTTGTTTTGGGGGGGGGGGGGGGGGGGGGGGGGGGTTAATTGGGGGCATGTTAGGATGCACGGGAGTTTTCTGTCTGGTGATGCTTTGCAGGCACCTTTGGTTGTTGCCCCCCTGCAGGTCTTGATGTCTGCATTTTTGTCTAAATGAAGTGAAAAGGAAGACAACGAAAGCAGATGCTTGCAGAATCCCTTCTTTGATGAGGAATAAAACTAAGAGTGCTTTGGAGAAGGTAGACATTGACAGGAGACACCCTTGTGAATACCCATTTGAACATGGTAACATTTAAGAACAGAAAAATGAGCATCCTGTGTGTTCATTTTTGGAGAGACAAGGTCAATTGGTACCAGAATGAGGAGAAGAGAAAAGTATGAAGAAAAAAAAAAAGGAACAGCTTGTGATTTTATAATATTGTATACCAAACACTGGTATGTATGGCTGCCAATAGAAATGACTTGCCTATACTGTCAGTGTGACTTCTAACAAATAACTTGATGAATTGTCAGGTGTACATGGATGTATTACCTCCTCACATTCAATAATATACTGCAAAACATTTAATTTCTCTCAAGGGATTTCTAGCGATCCATCTTAACTCTCTTTTGGGAGTCTATATAATGGTAACATTAAAAAAAAATGCCTGGCAGATACATTATTTAACTCACTGAGATGGTAGACTTATGAAGGCGATTGGTGCAAATACTCTTCAGATGACTCTTCGCCAAAGAAGACTTACATTATAAACTACTCTGGACATTGTTGTCCTCTCAAGGATATCATTTCTATTTGAGATGTGACCGTTTTGACCCAAAGTGGAGTCTCTTCTGAGAAATTCAGTTGCCTTCGATTTAACCTTCACAGACAAAGTAAAGAAAGACAAAATAGCCAATGCTGAGGGTGCATAAATGAGGATATTTTGGAGATGAGACTTTGCCTTCAAGCTCAGGTGAACTGCCCTTTCTAATGGAGAGGTTAACATTGTGTTGGCCTCCATTGTAAATCACAAAAGGCATGTAAATGAAGACATAAATTATAGATTACAGGGTGCAATGTGAAAGGAATAACAAATGTGGACTTTGGCGGTATAGCGTATCAATCTCTGAGGCTGATGTTATGAGAGTCCAACTATTATAGTGACAGGGATAGTTCCCCTGTGGTGCAGACAACCCAGCCAGTCATTTGAATTTCCAATTTAGACATTAAACCGGTGCCGTTAGCTCGAGTGACCAATATCTGGTCAAGGACAAATCCCAGTTATTGGGTAGGGTGACCAGTGATCATTCATTAGACGACAGTTCCCCACGCCCTCCGACCCCTTCCCGTCAGGTATGGCGCTAGACCGGGGCGAGAGGCCCAGTCAGAAAATCTGTTAAGCCCCTCCACCATTTTATTTGACATGCTAAAATGTAATGATAAATTACTTTCTCAGCCCCACTATTTGTCGGTCTCGCACCTCCTTTACCGCCGAGAGGAAAAAAAAAAAATCCTGGAGCCGTCCCTGCTCCCCGGTGATTTTACCTTTTGGACTGCAGAATATCACGTAGGCATGTGACTGGACTCCAAAAACCAAACTTAGAATGACCTGAGTCCTATCTTGCTTAATCATATACTTGAATGTCATGACCGATTTGAAAAATCAGAAAAATTGCTCACCAGAAAGCAGCAAAAGGTTTGATTTGTCCTACTTCCTTAGACATGAGGCCTCCATGTGCTCTAGTGATCAACGACACAAGGATAGAAGACCGACATCCACGATGGCAGCTGTTGACTGTCACCACATCCGTGGTGATCATCTGCACAACTAACATCTGCATCTTTTGCTCGCAATGACGTTAAGTCACAGACTGATGAAGAGAGTCACCCGACTGTATAGAGAAGCAATACTTGTGACCTCTCAGAGTGTGCAATTCATGAAGCGAGTAGTAAATGACTTCATACTGCCATAATGAGAGCAGTTTGGGGTCTCCAAGGAGGGATTATCACTAATTGGCCCAGCTGGCGAAACATCTCTAGTTGTGTTATCATTCTGGATGGCACAGTGGAACAACCTCAATTGTCACGAGGCGATTTACGACACATGTCAGCAATATACATAACAAGGTCAAAATATTTCCATGACCGCCCGTCGCTGCCCATCTCCTGCACCAAAGTAGATGTTTTCATCACTATTTTGGAGAGTTAATCTCCACTCTGCCAATCCAATCTAACGGAATGGAATGGAATGACTGTCCAAGATTTTGGATTTGGTCCATGGATTTTTGTCTCCCATTCACTCAGAAGAAATACTGGCACGACTCAAAATTTTAAGGATGAAAAATGACCAGAACTTTGAGAGGTCAAACAATCACTACTCCTTGATGTCACATGAAACCATTGCGGAATGCAAAATACTTCAGGTAAATATCAATCTAGAGCAGGGGTCGGGAACCTATGGCTCACGAGCCATATGTGGCTCTTTTGATGATTGCATCTGGCTCGCAGATAAAACAAAATATTCTCGCTTGTTTAATCCATCCATCGATTTTTTTACTGCTCATTTTGTGTTCAGGGCTGCAGTTGGCTCCAGGAGCAACTTTGATTGGATAATACTGGCCTACGTTGGTCGTTGCTGCGGAAACAGGTAAACACTCCCTTTTGAATCAGCCCGCTCGGTCATTAGCTCAAAGCTAATCCTAAACGAATACGATGGCGACAAGAAAAAAAGATGAGTATGGTAGACTTCAGGACGAATGGACCGAAGGATTCGCCTTTGTGGAGGGAACAGGTTCTGCGGTGTGTCTGATTTGCAAACAAAATACCATCGATGTAACGGTCAAATGTAAAGCGACACTTTGAAACGCGCCATGCTACGTTCGCATCAAAATATCCTGCGAGAGACAGCGGAAAGGAAACGTGCAAGCTACTGATCAGGGTGCAAGCAAGCCAGCAGCAACTCAGCATATGGACCCGGCAAGCTGACTATAATTCTGCTAGTTTTGCTGGATTTTTGTCAATCGTGAGGAACGGAAAACCATCCTCATGAATGGTGAGTATTATCACAAAATTATTTAAAAGAGTACATTCAGAGGCTTATTATACTGACATTTTGTTGAATTCGCTTTTACAATACAGTTTATATATATATATACATACACGCATACATATATGGCTCTCACTGAAATACGTTTCCAAATATTTTGCTTTTATGGCTCTCTTAGTCAAAAAGGTTCCCGACCCCTGATCGAGAGGATTAACTTCCTTTGTGTTATTGTGATAGCTCTCAATACAATACGGATAAAGTGACAATAAATCAAGGTCAGGGAGCATAGAACAAACCTTCCGAGTCAACTGTATCCCAAAGAAGAAGAGACTCACCTCTCAGGCACACATTGTAGTTGTCATAAATGGCAACGCCTGTATGTGGATCCACAAAAACATTCTCAAGATGAATTCCCTGAAAAACAAAGTATGAAGAGAACGACGAATGTGAAAACAAACAACGCTATGATACCAAAAACAAAGAGCGGCCACAAAAAAAAAAAAAGAAAAACGAAATGGACAAATAACTTGTCTAACTAGTTCGAAATGCGAAATTAAGGATTAAGGTGACATACCGATAACTGGAGACAAGTGCAAAAAGTCAATCAGTCAATCGTCGAGGAGGGAAATACAGGAAAAAAGAGGAGAGAGAGAGAACTTCTACTAAGTGCACGGAGGTCTGCAAGTGAATAGTCCAACACGAGCACGCTGCTGCAGTTGCACCTAAAAAGCCAGTGATTGCGATTCCCGACAGGTGCGTCGCCGAAGGCCTCGCCCACCACCCATCACTCACCCACACACTGAAACCATAACAACACAATTTCACACAGACGCATGACAGAAATCCTCCCTTATGTTCATCAGTACTGTTAATGAGTAGGTTACACATTCTGGTAGAAATGGTTTAATGTTTCACGAGACTATAACGGAACAACTTGGACACCAATAAGGTCTTCTGGCTAAGGTTCAATTGTCATTGTTTCTTAATGGGAAAATAGTTTTAAAATGTCAACAAATTGGAGGTCAACCGGCACCCCAGAATGGATTGTGTGACGTTCAATGGTATTTATGAGGTCAGTGGTTTTGGAGATGGCTTGCCTCTCAAATTTTAGAATTCATGCCAAAGTCATGCCTTTATGAACTTTGCTTTGTGCACTGGGAAACAGAAAAAAAGGCCTTCCCCAAAATCCTGAAGGCATACAATTTTTTTTCCAAGACAATGAAGAGTCAATGTGAACAAAGTAATCCAGCCCCCGATCGATTAAGTCCAATATAAAAAGTAAATCAGAAGTCTTTTGTCCAAATGAAGCACCTTTCCAAACACCTTCTATAACATATTCATTTCAGTTTCAATGACTTCTGTTTTTATCATTTCCATTTGTCTCACCACAATTGTATCTTTCCACATTTCCTCCTCCTCTTAATCTTCTTTCTTTTCAGTATCCTCACCCATAGTCTTCTGATGCAATGCTCTTTCCCCAGATCAATAGGAAATCTCGATGTCAAAAGAGCCCATCTTGGCTGCCCCTTTGCCTAATTTCCTCCAGGTCTCCCGTGATTGCAGACGCAGTTTGTGGAGAAACCAGAGTTCTGTAATCCTGTTGGAAAGGATCTCTTCTCACCCAATACTCCCTCTTCGGATCACTTCTCATTCTCTTCCGCTGCAACCAGCAAGAATGCACAGTGTCTTAATCAACTGCTTACTGAAGGAGGTTACCGGAGTTTTTTGTGAGACTCAAATGAGAAACAGCCTCGGAAAATGGGATACTGGCCCTAGACACAATGTGAGAAAAAAAAAGACAGATGCAAAGGGAGTGTGGAAAAAAAAAAGATTGAGACTGAGAAGTTGTGCATTCAGCCAAGCTGCAAAACTCCCCCGCCCTGCATTTCATCACCCTATGTAAACGTCTCTCTCTCTCTCTCTCTCTCTCTCTCTCTCTCTCTCTCTCTCTCTCTCTCTCTCTCTCTCTCTCTCTGCAGCTGTGGTGTGCCAAGCATCACCTCCACAGAGCAAGTGCCTTTACTTGAGCAGAGGAGGGAGAGGGGAGAGGAGGGTGGCGGCACGGGATAAAGAGAAAACCCTCAGGAGCGTGCACCAGGGTGCATCTGCGACTTTGCAGAGAGAGCTGGAAAGTGCACAGGGAAACGGGCAGAGGTGTCGGAGTATCAAAGTGATCGCTGGGGCTGGGAAAAGCCTGCAGAGGGTGAATCAAACACTGTCGCTGTTGATCCCGGTGTGCCTGGCACAGCGAAGAAGCCGGAGTAGTAGAGTGAAAAGGTTGCGGGATCTGGCAAGTGGGGGCTCGGGGGGATCCTTTTACAGAGACAACCAGTCCAGATATATGCTGCGAGACACAACTGACTGGAGAGAGATTGTGACACATTTACTGCAAATCTTCCTCCTTTAAAGGCGTCAAAAGGCTAGGTAAGAAAGACAAGATTGACATTACTACTTTTGACTTCACTGATGCTGGATGATGGAGACGAAAACTCCGTGAGAGAAAAACCCATTTAAAAATCCAGACTTACTGAAAAGCTCTTTTTACTCCAAAGTCTTTTCTGGGCTTTTGCACCCTCAACCAGCACAACATATCAATAACCTCCTTTCTCCAGACCATTAAGATGCCTCCTGCTGATGCAGTCTGAACTGTAAGTGGATTACAACCGCAATGTTTTGGGACTGCTCTTTGAAAAAGGAAGAGGAAAACCCATAAGTGGCGGATTTACATCTGTCAAAGTGGAAGAGGATCCTGTGCCGCTTTGTCTTTCTCTTGCTGTGGATTACAGATGGGCTTTGTGATCTCTGCAAAGTCTCATGGGTGACTGCGCACCAGTCATTAGGATAAAGTACAAGGGGGGACTCAAGTGAGGACTAAGATGAACCTTTTTCTCTGAAGATCAGGCAAATACGAATGTTGAAAGTGAATCTGCAATGTAATGTTTTGTCCCTAATAATAGGACATGTAAGTAATTTGTTCAAATATTGCATTGCATTTAATGAGGATGAGACATGCTGGCATCCGTTAACTTGCTGGCACCCTGGTTGAGAGTGATTCTCTAAATGAAGGGTTCTGTCTACCTGGCAGGTGGCTTGGACATAAGCAAAGAGTGACTGAGTTGATATTCGTAACTCCCGTTTCCGGGATTCTGGCTAAAGCAGAAGCCACTTTGGCGAATACTACAGCCTGGCCACACTGAGGACACTCCTCTCCAGGACACAGCTTCTCCTCCTCCTCTCAACTTAGCAAGAATGGTACCCCCACCTCCCACCAACAAGCCACACGTGTGCCTGTCCACCATCCTCATCATGAGCAGCATGGCATTGATTGATGCCTACCTGGTGGAGCAGAACCACGGCCCGCGCAAGATTGGCATCTGCATCATGGTCATGGTGGGAGACATCTGCTTTCTGATTGTCTTGCGCTACGTGGCCGTATGGGTGGGGGCCGAAGTGCGCACGGCCAAGCGGGGGTATGCCATGATCCTTTGGTTCCTCTACATCTTTGTGCTGGAAATCAAGGTGTACTTTGTGTATCAGAACTATAAGGCCGACAGGAAAAGCCTGGACGCTCTTGCCAGGAAGGCACTAACACTGCTGCTCTCCATCTGCATTCCAGTGCTCTTTGTGGTGCTGGTGGCTATTGACCACATGGAGTATGTGCGTGCCTTCAAGAAGCGCGAGGAAATCCGCAATCGTCTCTTCTGGGTGGTGGTGGATTTGCTTGACATTCTGGACATTCAGGCCAACCTGTGGGAGCCCCAGAAGAAGGGCCTCCCTCTGTGGGCGGAGGGCTTGATGTTTTTTTACTGCTACATCCTCCTCCTCGTGCTACCCTGTGTGTCTTTGAGTGAAATCAGCATGCAAGGTATCAACATTGTGCCCCATAAGATGCTTCTGTACCCAATCCTCAGCTTAGTGACCATCAACGTCATCACACTCTTTATCCGTGGTGGCAACATGATTTTGTACAGGGATGCGAGGGTGTCGGGGATCCTAATAGGGAAGAACGTACTGGCTATCATCCTAAAGACCTGCAGCTTTGTCCAGTACAGGAGACAGTTGCAGAGTGCCCCACCTGCTTTTGGAGTTGAGCTGCAGAAAAACTCACTTGCCCACGCCCGCCCTGCCCCCACCCCTCCCCAAGTCGTTATCCAGGACCAGACACCCTTGCCTGAGGTGACAACATGCGAGCACACGTGACAAGATGCTTTGCAGGATCCTCAAGATGCTGGCAGTGCACAATGTTTTACACTTTTTTAGGTCATTTGATCAAACGGAATACTAATGCGCACACAAGAGGGTTATCCAGCATTTCCAGGTGTGTCATGTTGCAATTTAGATCTTGTGATTTTGTTGAAACGCTTTCCTCCTGTGAATTCGGTTGATTGTGTATTTTTCCAATGGTGTGGGGGGGAAAAAAAAAACAAAAGTATATATTTTTGAATTGGCTGTTGCATTCTAATGTGTGATGTGGTGTCTATTTTATTTATTTTTTTGCTTGAGTCTTAGTAGTCGAGGGCTTTAGAACAAAACTTGAGCAAAGGGACACCAATTAATGTGAAAATAACTGTTCAAATTATGGCAGAAGTGTCTTTTCTATGTGACTTTTTGATAAAGTACTGTCCTTCTTCTGTGAGAACAGGGTTTGCATCACGCCATTTCAGTCATTGGACCAGTTAAGTAAGTGTGTGATCTGTTTTCAAGTCAAATTCCGCAGGTCTTTAATTAACCTGTGCTGCAAAAATAAAACATAAAATGATTTTTCCACTCAATGCTGAAGTGATGATTTTGCAGCATCTATCTATCTATCTCTCTATCTCTCTAGCTATCTATCTATATCTTTCTATCTATTCTTTTTTAATCTAAACCTGGCACCTCCAGTTGGAGGCTCCAAAAGACATCATTGAAAAGTTTATAGGAAAAAAACTGTCTCCCATGTTGCATGAGGCATCACAAAAGAATACTGCATATATCTCGGTGTTTACTGCCGAAGTAGCCAATAAACTCTGAGATGGCTTATTAATTCAATGTTGGTTATTTTGTAGGAAAAAGAAAATGATACCATGTAAAATAGGACAAATCACTGGTCGACTGCCAGTCGACATTATGAGGTTCCTTTGTATTTGGCATATGCAAGGTGAAGGAACTGGACCATTCCCACCAAACAGCATGGGGAGGTCAATTATATAGCAGCTAATTGGGGCGTATGAACTAGATTTCAAAACAGGCTTCTCTATATAAGGCACTCATTTCATCTCTTCGCATCTGTAACTACAGTCTCCTTAGCTTATTTAAAGCACACTGGCTTTTCCGAGAGTGCACTAACTGGTTCACTATTCGAACCAATGAGAACAAGGGTGGGCTAGTTCTGTTTTTGTCATTTTTAATTTCAATGCAGAAATGAAGAGCGAATGAAAGGCATATCTTTCTGATTAATATCGGGTTAAATCAAGGTTAAGCAGCAATTTTGATATATGAGAGCAGTCCATCATTTCATTCAGCGCCTTTTTTTTTTTTTTAGCTTGGGGGGCCAGTGCATCTTCATGTCAGTAAAGGTGAACGTTATTTATCACTTTTCATTTGAATCGATGAATTATGAGAGTGGTGATAATATGCTGTGGTAAAAAGCAAGACATCGTAAATTCAGCATGTGGGCGCAGCATCAACAAAGGAACGCATACAGTCTTGAGAATTAGAATAATGGATTTGTCAAATAGAATTCTGCAATTTACAATGTGTCAATTAAAAAGAAGACTTAAAACAATTTCTGAAGTAACCACCAATTAAAAAAAAATACCAGGTTACGTTTACCAGTTAGTAGTGAGCAATTATGGTTGCCGTTTCAGCGATTATCCCATTTTTTTTTTTCAAGATGGAATGTCAGTTGTAATTTTAAAAAAAACAATCACCACCACATTGTTTGGGTCCTCTTGATGCTTATGAAGCAAATGATTTGCATCTGTTGAGTGAAAAATAAATCAAAGCATAAACTATAAAGAAAAAAAAGATCATTTCTGTTGCCACTCGCCCCACTTCAGATAGATTCAAATTATTCAGACTTCTTCCAGAGAATCTGGAAGAACATGGAAGTAGATGGCTCATAAAAGTGCACAGATTGCTACTCAGGGTTCAAAGAGGCTCAGTGGAGGCTTGGTAGGTCACGTGACCTGGTGATTGAGACATTTTTAATGACATATTAAAATAAAGGAAACGGCAACAGAAGTAATGATGAGCTCGGTTTTAAGTCTGCTGAGAACAGTATTTTTTACTGGGTTAATATTACATGAGCACTACATTATGATGACACATCACACTGTTGTGAGTTGTAATGTTTAAATATGAATGCAGCAAAATCTCTCAGTGCACCGAAGAGCCATTCATTCATTCATCATTGATTAAAATACTGGCGAATCAAAAGAAGACCCTCAAAAAGGTGTCAATGGTGCTCATGTCCACTGACCCCACAACACCACCTAGTATTGAATGAATAGTGCAGACATTCAGGTAAATGCATCACACTCCCAGATGTTTCACTGTGAGTGATATTGGGTGCACTGGCCCACATTAACACTGACATAACATAGTGGCCTGCACCTAGCAAGAAAGAGAAACGGCAGCAGTAAATTCACAACCCGACCTTGGGCAGTCTGGGATAGCAGCACGGCCGCGAAAACAAATCTATTTTTCATGGAAGTCATGTTGGGGCAGAAAAATAGCAGAAATAGATGCTCATCAAATATTGATTTCCTTGTATTGGGGCTAAGCGATCATAGATTTTGGAAGACTAGTCAGAAGATGTTTTTCAGCTTGAACAAAACTGTCTATTGATGATTTTGCATTAACATTTTAAAAAATCCCCTTAAAGGTCCACAGTTAAAGGTCCGTGTACATTTCAAAGTGTGATGGCCAGTTCACATGATGAAAATGTCCATTCAATACATGCAAGCAAGCCAAGATGAGCTGAAAGCTATTTTGTTGTAGGATGGTTAGCACCGATTTGTTTTCTCGCAAATTGTCTTGGGACATTTGGAAGGGATTGGAAATATGGGCAACTTACTCTGTCCTATGAATCCTACCCTAATAAAAGATCTGAATTTGTCACAGGATGAAGCTCATGACTTGAAATGACAGGGTCATCTTTTGCATAATCAGATCGTCGAGTTAATCTCATCAGTCATTGCTCTGACGTCTAAACACATTGCTTTGTCTCACGTTGGAAGGTGGAAGTAATTTTTTTTCCGATTTCTAACAGGTTCTGTTGACTCATAAAAGATTTAGATGGTGTGTTTTGAGAGATACTCAGTCATCTGTTTACAATGTGCTCCGCAAAGTTCCAAAAGGCTTCAAGAAAAATAGCTGTTGGTCAAAGGAAACATCAGTTTATATGTTCTGTAAATTATTATACCAAAACTGTGTTATTACTCTCGGCGGGAAGACATTTTCTGAGTCTAATTGAGCTGTCTACTTGAAAATAGCATCAAGATAAGGCTATGGGAATGGCCTGACTGACATTTTCAGATTCTAATGATCGATTCTTTGTTGGCTTTATTCTCCTGTAGTGGTACATTTCTGTTTGTGCGTAATTAAAGCCAAGAGTAAATATTCAAAATCAAAACTTGGTCAGCAGCGAGGGCAACGTAAGAGAAAGAAAACAGACGATGATTCCAAAAACCCATAATGGACATTGGAACTAAAATAATAGATATTTTTTTAAAAAATGCGTCTTTCAAGAGTTGTGATCTAAAATGATACTTTTTGAAGGCCAAATATGCGTTTGGTGAGTCCAGTGCTGTGATGGGTCATCCGCAGAGGTCAAACTTTGTGTGCGCGTGTGGACATGACAAATGACGCTAATTCGGTTTTAAAATAGTTGGATCTCCGGAGTGCTTGCAAATGCAAGTATGAAATTGAACAACTAAGGAAATCCTTTGTCTAGTTCTGAAAATGTCTGAGGAAGATTCCCCCCCCCCCCACCAAAAAAACCCCAATCATGTAACAGTGTGGCTCATTTACGTAATACCGCCCACAAACTGAGTTTCTCTACCCATGACATCTTCAGATAGGCCGGGCAAAGATCCAGATCCACTTTCCAGCAAGCGGCAAAGTCTAGCCATTGGACGATTCACCATCTGAAACGTGCAGTGGCACTATCATGCAGAAGCAGCCGCATCCTCCTCTGGAGTGACACTGCTGCTATCATGTCAACGCCTAAAGGTAAGCACAGAGCCAGAGCAGAACAGATTAACGTGGGTTTAGCGTGTTAGCTTCTAACAAGCAGCACAGACTTGATTGATTGGTGATGTCGGTGCAGTGGCGGAGTAAGACAGGATTTGACTTTGATTTTGTGAAAATGATTAATATTATTATAATTTTTTTGTCTTCATGGAGCTCACTTTATTTCCACACAGAAGATGCCCCGAGCCTCCTGTTGTCATGGTATTGAAATCTGTTGTCACCATTGGCCCAGGAGTAACCTGTTCGGCGAAGCGTGTCCACTCACTCACTTGCATGAGACAAACAAGCTAAATTTTAGAAGTATATTTTGACAAAAGCATGTCAGAAATATTAAGACGCCTGAGAACTGATATAAATTGTGTTAAAAAAATGTGCATCCTTTAAAAATAGTAGCTGCTAAACAGAGACTTGGTTTCCTTGTGCAGATATGTGAGGTTCACAATCCAAAATCTAGAAAATGAAACAGTTGGAAGTTGAAAAAAAAAGAAAACATTCACAATTCTTTTCTTGAAAGAAAATCGAGACTACCGAAATAAATCTTAAGCAGTCAATGATCGGTGGACTGTTTTTTCAAATTTAAATCGCTAATTTTCACAGAATAGTATAAAAGACAACTTGCAGTGATTTTCTGTCTTCTCAGAAAAAGGCTCGGCAAGCCACATTGCATCTCTGCTGTCCTCTTCTCCTTACAAAACAATTGTCAGTTAAATGGAGATCCAGCACGTATAAGCTCATGTTTTATGATACCTGTCCGTGCAGAGAAGCCGTCCATTCTTCACACAAATATGCTGCGCGACACCGCACTTTTAGACGGCATAATTCACATTCAATATACAAGTAAAAAGACACACCTTCTGTTGCTCTTTAGACGACTGAATGGTTGAACACTCAAGTGAAGTGAAGTGAGCCGCTAATGGCGTTTTGCAAGATAGAATGCTATTCAGCTAAACATTTAACCTCATCGTTTTTGAGGTTTCCAAATCTTCCACATGGGTGCTTTTAATTGTATGGGTTGGACACACTGTTGGAAGATATCATTTCAGACGTTTTATGACTGTTGCAATTTACAGCACTCATCCCTTGCTGTCATTGCAATATAAAAGAGGGTTTAATCATCAATACCACGTAGAAAGCTCCCCTAATAGGACAAGTTCTGATGGTCTGAATCTTCATATATTGTCCCGACTTTCACTTTTTCCACCTACATTTCACATTGATATGGAGTTATGTCGGTGCCGTTTGTGTAGAACAGCAACCACAAAACGGTGGATAAAACCTGCGCTTGAACAAGCCATGCAAAATGGTCCACGGAGAACAAGTTCACCTTCACCTGCGTGCCCGTGTGCGTGTGTTATGTTTTCTTGGAATGTTTGCGCAACTTTAATTATTAAAGGTGAAGAAGTACTAACAGTTGCTGCCGGAACGAAAATAAGAACTGTGCAGAGGCCAAAAGTGACATTAAGAAGGTGCATTCTTTTTTGGCAACAACTAGCTGTGTATTCAAGTCAATGTGGACACAATTAGCGGTTTGCCCAGT